CTGCTGCTGAGCGGGGATATGCGCTATACAAATGCTATCTATTATTATTATTATTATTTTAAGTGACAAAATCTCTCCGCCTGGAAAGAGTCAATACCTCAGGCACAGACACACAAGAAAAATTAGGAAGCTTGATAATGTTACAAATTACAAAAATGCCAGAAGTTTTAATGGGGATTTTCTCAAAACAATTGTCATGGCACTCAAGATGATTTGTGTCACGACGTGATGGAATCAGGCGCTCATCAATTTTTGGGTATATGAAGTTATTGGAATCATCCTAAAGCTTGTTCATTTGTCTTGCTTTTGATGAAAAAAATATCCATGTATCTTGGATACGAGTCAAGATATTAGCAATTGAACGAGGTGGGGGGGGGGTCACTTGGTTTCACAGGTAAAAATTTGCAAGAAAATGCGCACCAAAGTTTAGTTATTTCCTTAGCTCGAGAGTTCATGGAAACTGAAAATTTACATTTTTTGTGCCTTTAATCAATGTTTATCAATAAAATCCATAGAGAAATGAGTTCTTTAAAGGACATAGAAGGTGTTGAGGCAAAGTCATAAATTCGATTTTTAAAATTCCCAAACTCGCGGAAGAATGCCAGTTTCTTCATTTTTATTATATTGACAAGCATCTGATTTCACTACGCTGTCTCACATTTGTGTCTCACATTTGTTTGTTTTTTGGGATGGAAATCTTAAACACACAATAATGCAATTCTAAGCAAAACAAATAAAATGAAAAAATAAAAAGAGATTTTTTGTTGCTGTATCATTGTTTCCAAGTACAAGGTCCCACCTCTTGTATCTTCATGGACGTTTCTGTCAACTGACCAGCAGCTTGTTCATCGTTGTCCACCAAAAGTTGTAACAACTGACACAATGACGCCAACCCCTGGCCAGTCAGGTGGGCCTGGAACATGCCAGATAAGACAATAGCTGAAGAAGATGGGTTTGAGGGAGATCAAAGACACATATCGCTAGCCGTATTAGTCAGCCGCCTAAGTGCCAGGAGATTAAATTTTACAGGAGAACAAAGAGAGAGTAGAAGAGAACAAGTAACGATCTTTCACCTGCGAACACAACACATCCCACTGAATTCCTACCTAAATAGGATCTGCAAGGATACCCCACCAGACAGCCTGTTGTGCGACTGCCAGGATGAAACAGTACCACATCACCTCTTTACCTGCCCCGCACTTTTTGACCTGCGTAGTACCTACCTACCTGCCTCCCCAGACATCGGAAATACTCTATACAGCGACAAAACATAGCTGACAAAAACCTGTAAATTCTTTGCAACATCGACAGACCGAAGGGCTAGAACTCAAATGGCCGCTGGATCGGAAAAGTAAAAGTAAAGTAAAGTACAGGAGAACGAAAAAAAAACTTTGATTTTTTTTAAATGTACGTACCTGTGAATCTGAAATTCAGACATAATTTAATATGGTGTAGAACGATGGTATGTAACTAGTTTTTATTTCTAAACGCTGTGTTACGTAAGTCACTGCACTTAGGCATTTGACGCCAACCTAAATCTGTGTGATTCAACCGCGTAAGTGACAATATGACGTCTGGGTGTTTGAATCACGTTAGTCAACACCATTTGACAAGCACGAGTGGTGGCTTGATTGTTTGAGTAATGAACAGAAGCAAATGATAACAGTGTGACTAAGGACAGAGTTTCCCTGTATTCTGTCTGCAGTAATGGGAAGGCATTTTGTTAAGTTTATCAAAGAATTCAGTCACAAAAAATATATTGTTTGTCATCTTCTGCTCTCTGGTAATATGACAACTGTGGAGCTCTCATGTCTGAGTCATGTGAGCTCTCTTTGCAACAGCTATGAATAAACCACTGTGGGAGGGCAGTTGTATTTATAAAAGCATTGTTTTGCATATTACAAGAAAGTCACCAAAGATTCATTTCAAATGAAACAGTAGAGTCTGAAGTCTACTTGGGGAATCGGAAGACCCTCTTCTGCGTTTCATTGGAACTTGATGAATAAGGTCTTTGATGAATGCCCTTTTATGAGTAGTTGCATCAGTTAGGGTCCATGCGCATTCAAACATTGTGTCTCTATCGCCGTGTGTGAATTCACGAAATAATTTTGTTGAAACAGATTTACATGACCTCTATGATTTCATGAGCTCGTATCTCTTTTCCCTTTGGGAAACATAGGGTTGACCCTTGTTGCTGAGTTCTTTCTTTTTATTTTGTTTTCACTCTTGTGGGTCTAATCTTTTGCACTTTGGGATATTGTGGACTGTTTCTTTATTCGCTGTGACACTTTCAACAAAAGCAGCAGGTACAGTTTCTTGGAGTTCAGGAATAGCAACAGCAGTAGGTGTACCTGTGTTGCCAGTTGCAGTTTCTGCAGGAGTAGTTGATGGTAGCTGGGAAGAAAAATGTACCTTTTTGGCATTGTACTGAGGTTCTGGATCAGAAGTAACAGGTTTCGAGTAACGTCTCAATTTAGAGAGATCTAGGCCGAAATCACAAAGTGATATTTACCAACAGGTGTACTCAACGCAAAATTCCACGATCTTTAGCTAGCTGCCAATCACAGACAGTTTTAAATTAATTGGTCAATACCTTTTGCAACAATTTATCGGCTTGATAAAGTCAGCATTAAAATCTTCTTTGATGTCGTCTCTCAAAATCACTACCCAAGCCAGGTGCGAATTGATTACGCAAATTGTCTAGATGAAAATTTCTGGTCATCGGTAGGTGTTGATCTGAGTCGATGTCAACAGATGTGACACTTTCTTCTGTTGTTACCCTCAAGTGCACCTTGACAAAGGCCATAGGCATATGGGTCGGTCTGCCTACAAAACAGGTGAACACTGCACAAGCCTCTGAATCTGCCTGAGAGAACCACCTTTTTCGCTGTGGGCTGCGAAGCTAGCGCTTAGACTGTTGAATCACGTAGTAATTTTCGGACTGGTGGACATGGGTGATTGATTTACTGAAGGATTAAAATATTTTGCAATAGTCTTTTAAACTTGGGATTTTAACATAAGCTGAATCAAAAGTTGTACTATCCAAAGGGATCAAAAAGTGATTTTTTTAAAATTATCATGTCACTTAAGCGGATGAATAATGTGGCTAGCAATATGTTCCATTCAAAGCTACAAGCATGCCACTGGTACATTTCAAAATGCCCAAAAAGTGTTAAAGATCTTTTCCCCCCCCCTACAATAGAGCCAATTTTTGAAAAATGAACATTTCCTTCAAGGGAAATAAGTACACACAGAGATTTTATTAAAACTTTGTTAATGATTGTAAATGATAGTATTAAGTTTTTGTAAGTGTTTTACGGCACATGCAACACAATAAGGTCATATAAGTGCCGAAGATTAGAAGTGTTACAAGAGAGTAACAAACACAAAAAAAGGAGGAGATATAAGGACGACAGATGTTTGATAGGATAGAAGAAGCAAACCACACCTGAGCACCTGCCATCCACCCACAAATGATAGTATAACGGATGAGATGGAACATACAGTGCTAAAAGCTCAGACAGACATGATGGAGTATATGGCCCACAAAGCAAGATTAGCATTTCCGTAAAAATTTCTTCGAAAAAGAAAGTGTACGAGGTGCTGGGGAGTCTTTCTTATTTACAATAAATGAGAAAAGTTTCTGGCAGTGTTTTCTGGCAACAGATGACTTTGAAAGGAAAGAAAATAGGGCTTTGATGGTACTCCTGATCATAAAACTGAATATGAATGTAGCAGGTAAACACTGGAGTCCATTTAAACCAAACACGGTAAACCCGAAAAGAGCGGTAAACCAAAAGAAAATGCAATTCCCGATTATTTTCTTTCTTTTATCTGAGCAACCTTTCTATATGGAAAATGAGTGGTTCCACAGGTTTTGCAATACGCCGACTCCAACGTATGATGTTTTTCTCTGTAACAGACAAGCTATGTTTCAGCCCTACCTGGCGTGCGGGTGACCCTGTGACTGCCGTAATCCGCTTCACATTCTGGGCTTTGGTACCAGACTGGAGGATACAGAACTCCTGGAGGTCAACAGTGTCTGTCACATGTCTGGGGACAGTTAATTTATTTAGTTTTAGGTAACGATTTTATGGCACTTGCAACTCATTTATGTCATAATAATAGCTTGAAGATAAGAGGTATTACAGAGAGTAACTAACAAAGAAAAGATCAGAACATTAAGGATTTATTCAATAGAGGCACCAGTCATCCATGTCTAGGTGCTGTTTTAGCCAACAAAGAAAAGATGGAAGATAGATAAAGACAATAGATGTTTGGTAGGAAAGAAGGAGCAAACCATACCAGAGCACCCATCAGTCACCCATAACCGGGGACAATGGAGAGGGAAAGATGGTTCAAAACAAGCTGGTTCACTCCTCTGACAAATATGACATGCAGACGTCTAGACAGAATCACTAGTCAGTCCTACCTCTTTCCTTCACCCTTCAGTGTCTCTCTCTGTCTCTCTTGCTCTTTCCCACCACAGAATGACTGTTTAATGTGTCGATGTTCACTTTACATACAATGACAAAAATTTTACAAATGACCTTGTCTGTTATATGCCTACCCTTGAGATATATTGTCAGCCTGTCACCATGACCAAATTTTCTCATGACTTTGACAGGTGGCAGATAAAAATAGAACACACAATGTCCTCACTGTCACTTTAGATACTTTGTGTATAACTGTTCACTGACCAATCGTCTCACATATACAAATAGTATCAATCAGGCTAGAAAGAAACAAGGCGTTGGCCAGCTATTAAGATGTACTGAGCCCAAAATTTTGAAAAATTGTTTTATTTACTTCTGTTTCTTGATGTGTGGTATTTATTGCATTGGTTGTTTTAGGATGTGTTATACAACCCTTGCAACGCCTTTAGTTCATATAAGTGCCGAAGATTAGAGGTATTACTAAAGAGTAACAAACACAAAAATAGGTGGGGGAGCGATAAAGACGACAGATTTTCTTTTATATGAAAGAAGGAGAGAACCACACCAGAGCATCTGCCAACAACCCACAGTGTTGCATGAGCTTGAGAAATATTTTGTTGAAATTCAGATTCTAAATATTGACAGGGGAAAAAAAGCAAGAAAAGATACATAATGTTGGTACAGTTGTTAAACGAAAGAACAGGATTTTTTTCTCTTTCCTAAAAAACTTCACTTTCTGAGTTTATAAAGACTATTGAACAGCTTGCTGACAATGGGGAAAATTCAAGTAAACAAGGGAAACTTGGGCACAGCTGCATTTAGCAGAAAGGCAAGAGTATCACAAGAGACCTGAATATCTAGCAATAAAAATCCTGTCTGCATCCCTCACCTTGGAGTAGGAGGAAAAAAAAAAACTTACGTTCCTCCACACAGTTCTGAAGACAAGACCTCACTGCCATCCGGAGACTGGATGCGGATGAGGGACACTTGTTCTGGATATTCCTGTCAGCAAGAAAACAGACAACTATCGTTAGGGAACTAAGAATTTACACGACCATCCAGACAGATTTCTGGGCTTACAATATACTGAAAGACTGTAAAATAATTCCTCGACATGGGAATTGAACTGGCATCTTCTGCAAACAACAGCCAACAGCCTAACCATTACACCAAGGAAGCAAGTCTCCAACAGTAAGTCACTGTCTGAGCTTGCAAAAGACGAAGAAAGAATAGAATAAAAAAAACAAAAGGAAATTACAGAATCTTATAAAAAAAAAAGAAAAACACTTTGGAGCAATTTCTATGGATTTTGAAAATCAAGTGAAAAAAAGATATCCCCACGTATAGCGATGGCATACAGTAAAATCTGTCTTCATCTTTTGTATATAGGTCTTACGCAATGGTTCCACATGACTGCCTTTACCCTTCTGTGTACTCAACACACTACTCAGTGTACTGTATGTTTCCAGGGAAGCCGAGAATGTTTCTAAGTGTTCTAGGATTTGCTGGGTAATAACCAAGACGGAATAAGACAAGTCGAGACAACTCTTCTTTACGTCATGGGACAAGCGCAGACCCTCACCCACTTTGCCAGCTGCGCGTATAACTCGCTGGGCTGGTGATAGTTTACATTGGTTACAATGCAAGGCTACTGCGATCATCTCGGGCGGTATGTCTAGCCTAGGCCTACTAAAATTAATATATTTTAGCCCAGAGAGAGAGAGACAGAGTATTTTTTAAATTCTAATGGATAAACGTAGCCTATCTAGATCTAGATCTAGAATCTAGGATCTAGAATCTAGAATCTAGATCTAGAGAGTCTAGATTTTGTTGTTCACCCAGCCAAGAGTGTGCAGTTCAGAAAGTAGATCTAGAAATCTAGATCTAGGCAGCGCGCAGGCCCTTTATAAAGGGCGTGAGCCGGGTTACCCGGGAAGCGCGCACGCCCTATATATAGGGCTGACCTACTTCGACCGGGAAGCGCGCTGGCCCTATATAAAGGGCATAGACGCTGACCCTTTATATGGAAAATGACGTAGTAAATTACAGGCCAAAGTTATAAATAGTGACCAATGACTTTGCAAATTATCTTGACCTCGTAGAGCGTCTCTTGGCCGAGATATCAATCGATAAAGTGACGCGGTCCCGCTGAGCGACTACACGCTATGTGTTATCACTTGTTTCGCCGTGCTGATGTACTGATTGTTGAGTCTATCGCGTTCTGGGCTTTGTTTGTATTTATTTGATCGCTGAACATTTTTGAAAGGCTCATTCTATCAGCTTAAAGAAAATATATGCTTTAATATGCTTTTTGTCATCTGTTGAGCCGTAAATGGTCATTTTTCAGTAGCAGGTATACATTTCGGGTATCTCAGCTGATTCCCCCCGCCAAACCCCCATGTTTACAAATGATCGGCCATGGCGGCGGGGCATTTTTGGCAGGTTACTTCCGGTGAAACGCTGAGCGCTTCTAGGGTTAAGTGGTTGGCGAATGACCGAAGGGCGACTCTTGACAAGCGGTATGTCTGTGAATTGGCGGAGACACTCTAGATCTATATCATATGCAACTTGATTCATACTATCATATCAACAGTATATAGATCTAGATCTAGATCTACTTAAGCTTCTGTGCTTGTTTCAATGGCTTCTTTTTCAGTGCACCTGTACAACTGTGGTCCCGTTTTTAATGTTTACATGACGGCCATTATTGTCATGTGGGAGTGAATCTAGGTCTATAGAGATCTAGATCTAGATTTAGATATCTCTAGATTCTATCTAGATCTAGATAGTCAAGATAATCTATTTCTAGATCTAGATAGCTAGATTGATCTAGATCTAGATTCTAGATATCTATAATCTAGGCCTAAATCTACATAAGAAACACGTAAAAATTACCACAGGGGCTTTTAGGCCTTGAGTGATTTAGTGCAAACGGGACCGCTATTGTACAGGAGTGCTATTGTTTCCTAGCTTCAGTTCATGATCATTGATTCTGACATTGGGGAACAGCTCGCTGTGCAGTCAATCTAGATCTGGATCTAATCTATTGTATATTCTGTTAGACAACAGTTCATTGCAGAGCACCACTGGCTGTTCTGTCGTTATTAAACTGTAAGATCTAATCTACTTCTACGTTTCGTAAACTCCTAGATCTACATCATCATGTCACTGAACATGTTCAACCCACGACCGCTTTCCGTTCATAAAAACCTTAAATTTCTCAACTCACTATTTTCAAAATGTGAACAAAAACCTGTCAAGATAAATACCAAACAGTTTATATGAAAAAAAACAAGGCAAAACTGCCACTATGAAATTCAAAGAAGGCAGCTGTTTCAGCGAGTTGAACAGTGTGCTCTTTCTTCCTGTCATTTGTTTACGCTTTAAACGCGCAGCTAGCTGGTTACCAAGGGGAGCCTGTTGGAATGAAAATGAGGCTGATGTCCCGTCTTGTCTTATTCCATCTTGGGTAATAATAACTGAAAGCCCATAGAGTATGTTGTAGAGTGTAGATATGCGCTACTTAAATGAAATTATCATAGTTATTATTATTATTATTATTAATATTATTATCATTACTACAGAGGTACACATCTAGCAGTCGACACACATGCGCTCAGGTACACAGGTCCTGTAGACTCAAAGAGAATAAGGCTCAGAGTGTTAAGTTAAACTATTTTTTAGCCGTCACAATAAAAACTTCTCAACACCATAGTTAACCTCACACCTCCTACTTCATCACACACCGACCAACACCAAACCTCACCTCATTCTGCAACATGGTGACATTTGGGAGGCTGGTTGCCTCCTGTAGTGACATGATATGACGGGAGACTGAACAAGACTTCTGGATCATTTCTCTCACAGACTCCTCCACCTGACTCACTTGCTCCGATCCAAACGCTCCCTAACGTTCAGATGACAATAAACAACAGCTCATAAAAATAGTAATACATTTTCAGCAGAAAAATTTAAAGATAAAGACACTCTTAAAATATTGTTTGCTTTGGATACAGCAGTATTGAGTTATTCTTCAATTGTTCACTTGACTTTTTCCTCATGCTCCTTCATGGCCAAAACGATACCTTTTATTTCAATAAAATTGTTGAATGAAGAGGGCTTTTTTAACTCTTTGTCTCCAGCAAGCCGCTGCCAGCAGCTCACAGTCAGAACCACTGAGCCAGTGAGCCACTGACAGCGGCTTGTGCACATTCCTTTACAACGACTTTGACATCAAATTACTTTTGGGCAGTTCCTGAAAACAGGTCACTTTTACAGGGATATAATTCATTAGATGAAGAACTATCAAAATAGGTTCACATGCTTTGGTTTAATGACCAATTTAGAGACAATTTTGTCATTTTTAGCTTTAGTACCAGAAACGGGCCCCAGTTTCGTGGGTTTACCCCCCTCGGAGATAAAGAGTTAAGGAAAGACAAAAATTGCAGCTAAACAAAAAGAGACTGTATAAGCTGGATAATCATGAAACACAGATGCAGCAACTCATAAGGTTTTTTCATAAGTAATTTTTTTTCCTCTAAATGATAAAAATCGGCACGGAACAACAGTGGAAACGTCCATTACTTGATACTACTGTCGAAACTGTGTAAAACAGCCACAAACTGTCGAGGAGAAAATTGACTGTCTTATTTTAGTTTTAGTAAGGCCTTTACAGCACTTGCAACATAATAAGGTCATATAAGTGCCGAGGATTGAAGGTGTTACAAGAGAGTAACAAACACAAAAAAAGGAGGGGAGATGAGGACTTCAGACATTTGAAAGGAAAAAGAGAGCAAATCAATTCAGAGCACCCACCAACCACCAATGATCAACTTAGACAGGTGACCATCTTACACAGGGCCATCAAAATGTAACCAAAAAATGTTAATATGCAAGGGGAGGTAAATGAAGTGGCTATTTGTTCATGTGATTGTCTTATACACTCAGCAGTAAAATCAAGTTTGACCATATTCATTTCTAATTGAGACAAGGTTTTTCTCACCAGTGAGAGGAAATCGAAGGAGAACTTGTACGGAGTGACGTTCGAGCCCTGTTGTTGGCTGGAGGGGGACACAGAGGTCAAGGCAGTGTTGAGGAGGTGTGTGGCTGTGTGGTTCCTCATGCAGCCTTCTCTTTTTAGCTGAAACATAAAGGTCAATAAGATGAAACCTACGGGATCTTAGAAATCTTACAAAAGTGAACAACTTGTACAGAATCCTGGCCTCTCTCTACAACACGTATCGGGATGAAGCAGCTAGATCAACAACAGCAATAACAACTACAACAATAACAACAATAATAGAAATATCAACAAAAACAGTTTGAATGTTAATAAAGAGAAGTACACCAACGAGACGACACTCACTCAGGGCAGGGAAAAACCAGGATGGATAGACAAAAACAATGGTGGGGAAGAAAAGAAACACGAAATATCAAAGATGCCCCCCATCCACCTGCATAAACCACCTCTACAACAAAAACAACAACATCTACAACAACAACCCAATGTGTCACGACGTGGTAGAATCAGGCGGCTTGTCAATTTTTGGGCATGTGGAGTTATTGGTATTGCCTTTAAGCCTGTTCATTTGTTTTGCTTTTGATGAAAGAAATACCCATTAATCTTGAATACAAGTAAAGATATTTGCGACTGAAAGAGGTGGGGTTGCCTGGTTTCAGAGGCAAAATTATCAAGAAAATGGCTGCCAAAGTTTGGTTATTTACATAGCCTGAGAGTCCGTGGAAACTGACAATTTACATTTTTTGTGCCTTTAACTCTTTTTATCCTAGCCGTACCGCCACGGACTCTGTACCGGTCCTGGGGCCGCCGCGCCGTATGAGTCGGAAGTCAGTGCGTATAGTTCAAAGTGCTATATTTCTTACGTTTACTCTAAGGTTTTAAGGAAATTTGGCAGTTAAGTTAGAAACTGAATGTAGTTTTTGTAAATGTATGTGGTTAGGAAATACACCAATAGCACAATGTAGATTTTGAGGTGTATTCCACCTTCGAACTTGACCCTGATTGCCGCGCCCACGACGCCCCATTGGATTTTATAAATCTAGATCTAGCCCTACCCATCAAGCGCAAATTCCAGCTGACCCCTTCACCATGATCTGAATCGCTATTAGATGAGTCCAAGTCCTGTTTCTTATCATCCACAACAGAATTTACGGCTCTTATTTCAGAGTCACTTTCATCAAATTAGTATCATTCCCCCTCATAACCCAGCGCCACTTCAAAAAGAACTTCCTCGGTCGTGAATGTGCGTTTTCGAGACATCTTTCAAGCTTCTACACCCATCAAAAACAAAGAAACCACTGTTCATTGGAAAATTAAAATATTCAGACAGAGCTAGCATCGCCGTATTTGCGTATTTTGGTAATTACAAGTAGAACTAGCTTCTTTGACGTGACCGTATCGCTGTTCCGAGAATACTCGTAGCCCGGACTGGTCCTCGTTACAAGAATACTCGTAGCCCGGATAAAAAGAGTTAATCAACATATATTTCAGTAAAATCCACACAGAAATGGGTTCTTAAATGGACATACTGTTGAGCTAAAAAGCAAAATTTCGATATAGATCTAGGTGGCAAGACAAGCAGAAAAATGCCAGTTTCTTTGCTGTCATCATTTTCACAAGCGCCTCATTTCACCACCCTGCCTCACCTATAGAGTATTATAAACTGGTAAAAAAGCAACACACTGAGCCTCAGAGCTCAGATGTACCCACCAGCGCAATGCTTGGAGTGACTGACTGACCGTCCTGTAGATATCCTTGAGAGACGTGACCGTAGTGAACGACAAGCCCTTGTCTGTTCTGTACTTCAGTCACAGAGAACTGGCCTGTCTGCAATGAGGAGGGAAAGATCAGAATAAAACCTTTTTAAGATGACAGGAACAAAAAAACAACATGATATCCCAGATAGCTTGTACAATTTTCCATTTCCCTACCGATATCTCTTTAATTTTTAGCTATGGTTTATCCAAATCATGGATCTGTTGAAAGCATTTCGCGACTTCAGTGCTTTCTTGTCCTATCTCCATTTTTTATAAGGAAGTGTCTACGTACTCCCCGATTGGGGTCTACGTAGTCATGGTGTCTAGGTGGACCCCAAAAATGTTGGATTGTGATTGGTTGTAAAAGAGCATGAGCCTTTCGTTAGCATTTTGCCAAAATGGCCGCCCCCTGGAATCGACTAGATCCAGTCCCGAGAACGCCACACTATCTGGCCTTCTCGTCCAGTCCCCATGTATGAATCAAGTTGCATGATATAGACGTAGTGTGTTCCACCAATTCACAGGCAAGTAGTCAAGAGTTGCTCTTCGGTCATTCGCCCACCAGGCCACTACTAGATCTAGATCTAGTTCTAGATCTAGGTCTAGAATCTAAATCTAGACCGAACTGCATACTCTTGGCTGGGTGCACAACAAAATCTAGATCTAGATCTAGATACGTTTATTCGTTAAATACTCTCTCTCTCTCTCTCTCTCTCTTGGCTAAAATAAATTAATTATAGTAACACAAGATAGACATACTACCCGAGATGATCAGTAAGAGGCCTAGTAGCCTTGCATTGTAACCAATGTAAACTACCGCTCGTTCAGCAAGCCAATCACAATCCAACATTTTTGGGGTCCACCTAGACACCATGACTGCGTAGACCCCAATCGGAGAGTACGTAGACACTTCCTTTTTATAATAGTGAAAACAGTTGCTAACAAAGAATGAGCTTAAGAAGAAGTCACATTTTCAATTTTTTTTTAAATGGATATAGGACAAGAAAGCACTGAGGTCGCGATTTGTCAATCCCTAACATGTTTGAGTTAACCGTGTTCGACTGAACACATACGCATGTGTATGCTTGAGTGTCTGTGCTTATACCTCAGACTCCAAAACTCCAAACTCTATTGTCCGATGCCCTTC